ATTACTCTCAGATCCTTCAAGAAACACAATACTATCATCCGCAAAGAGGAGGTGAGTAACCATGGGGCCGGTGCTCCCAAAAGAAACCCCTCTTATATCACCAGCACTTTGTGCATTTTTTAGCAGCGCCGAGAATCCCTCCACGCAGAACAAGAACAAATACGGCGACAGAGGGTCACCTTGTCGAAGGCCCCTCATAGGTAAGAAAGAATCTGAGATCCCCCATTGAGCTTCACCGTAAATCTTGCCGACGTCACACATCTCATAATCATTTGAATCCATGCTGCATTAAAACCAAACCTCTCCATCACCCTTTCCAGAAAAACCCATTCTACCCTACCATACGCCTTCATCATATCCAGCTTGACCGCACACGGAGGCTTCCTCCTACTTCTCTTTCTGATAGCGTGGACACACTCATATGCCACCAAGACGTTATCTGTGATGAGCCGCCCTGGAGCAAAAGCACTTTGCTCTTCTGAGATCAACATCGGGAGGATTCTCTTTATTCTATTGGCAAGTACCTTTGTTGCAATTTTATATAGCACGTTACATAGGTTGATTGGTCTGAATTGATACATCAACTCCTGTGAGTTGACTTTCGGTATCATCACAATGACCGTATCATTGAAACATTCTGGTGTCGCCAGTCCATACAAAAAATCCTCCACCACCTTGCACACACCCTCCTTAACTAACGACCAGTGTCGTTGGTAAAACTAGGCCGGGAAATCGTCCGGTCTCGGGGCCTTCATAGGGCCGATCTGAAATAGAGTTGTCTCAATTTCAATATCAGAGATCATGGTTGTAAGTTTTCCATTCATCTCCTCCGAGACGATCATGTCGATGTGTTGCAGCATGTTATCCGCTGCATTTGAGCCCTCAGTTTGGAACAATGTAGCATAAAAACTCGCTGCCAGAGCACGCATCTCTTCATCAGAAGTACACCCCTTGCCATCCTCCCTACGGAGAGCCTTTACCGTATTCTTTCTCTTCCTATGAGAAGCCTGATTCTGGAAATACTTGGTGTTCTGACCGCCCCATTGCAACCAGTCTATACGTGATCGTTGTTTGTAGTAGATCTCCTCCTTTTCATAAAGATCATGAAGCTAACTCCCAATAGCATTTACCTCCTGAAAAAACCCGGTCACTAGCGACCGTTCTTTATCTTCCTTCAGCTGTGTTTTTAGCTTAGAAATCTGTCGACGCAGGGAGCCAAAAACCTCTTGACTCCACGTCTGCATGGCCTTGGAAAGAGAGCCCAATTTACTACTCATGCTTGCCGACGCCCCTTGTTGCTAATTGGCTTGCTCTCATGCACGTACAATCATTTGCTCGTAATCCTCGTGCCTTGTCCATGCCTCTTCAAATCTAAATCCCCATCGCTTCTTCTTCCTGACCGCATCCAGTGATGCCGCAGCCCTGATGACCAGCGCCGCATGGTCAGACTCCTCGGTGAGAATATGTTCAACCGCCATTTCTGGGAAAAGGTGCATGAACTCATCATTGCATGTAGCCCTATCAAGACGAACTTGAATGTTGGCCCCTTGATCTTGCTTGTTGTCCCTCATGAATGGGTAACCCGTGAAACCCAAATCCGCTAAGCCACAATCACCAAGGCACTCCCGAAAGTCCTCCATTTGGTTGAGTTTCTCGGATTTCCCCCTCGCTGCTCTGTCTAAAAAAGAATCTTATTAAAATCACCTGCACAAAGCCAAGTTAAATTATCTTGTTGCTTTAAGTAACGAAGGGCATCCCATGTCTTCAGCCTGTGCTCCATCCGAGGTTCTCCATAGATTCCGGTGAATCTGACGGTCCTTCCCTCAAAAGAAATTTCTGCATCAATATAGTAATGGCACCACGGCCTAACAATGACAGAGATATGATCCCTCCAAAGCAAAGCTAATCCTCCACTCCTCCCCTCGCAGTCCACGACAACGCCATTGCGGAACCCTAAACTCCATTTAACTTTTTCCATTGCTCGCGCCTTCTTCTTTGTCTCGCTCAGGAAAACCACCGCTGGGTTGTATGACCGTATCAGGTCCCTTAATTCGCCCACTGTTGGGTCCAACCCCAATCCCTGACAGTTCCAGACAAGGAGATACATTGCTCCCGGCGGCCCCGGCTTCTGGGGTCCGCCGATCTAGCTCCGTGATCACCGATACGCTCAAAGACTGACGACACTTTCTGTCGTTTTTCACCAACGAGTGCATCGCCTCCCTCCTTCCGAGCCCCCTCTCCTACATGCACCCACATCTGTCTAGATGGCCGCTTCTTCTCTCTGGGAGCATACCAATATTGGTCCTCTCGCCATCGAGAAGAGACCACATCTCTTCTAGTTTTACGAACATAATACCCCGGCCTCCGATACTGCTCCCTCTATGCTATCCCCCCCGTCCCCGCCTTGCTGCCTTTCTCGATATTCTTGACTCTTCCTTGGGGAGATGACACCCTCTCTCCCTTTTTGGTGTAATTCATTCCTCAGCACTCTCTCCCTTTTTCCCTCCAAATCTTGACGTAGATCCTTCTCCTTAGTCCCCGCCGCACCAGTGTGCGTTTTTTGCGGGCTTAGAACCTCCTCTTGTTCCTTCCCTTTCTTCCTAGACCCACCAGTGTGGGAGTCAGCCGAGGGAGTATAGTCTCTATAGAGGGATCTGCGTGTTGGGAGGTCTCATACATACACTTGCCTTTTCGGGCCGTTGTCTCCTCCACTTGACATTGAGCTCTCCCTACTAAAATTCTTGCTTGAGATTCCCTGCCATTGCTTCTTCTCCTGGTGGCTCGACGCGGCCCTACCCGGCGAGGCACGCAACCATTCTCCCCACCGAGACAACGGATAAACCGGTGGGTCGTAGACTCCATCAACATGCACCAGTCTACTGCAGTCAAAACAAAAGTGGGGAACTTTCTCATAAGCAAAATCAAACCAAGTTTTCTCTTTGTCATCGGGCTTCTTCTTCAGGTAGAAACCGCGAACAAGCGGTTCATGCAGAGCAATCCTCGCCCGCACCCTGAGTTGAGTCCCCCTTGCTAGTCCATCCTCTCCAACATCTACCTTCACTACTGTCCCCAGCCAGTTTCCAAGGGCCTCTCCAAACGCCTTCGATCTTTTATCCAAGGGTAGATCATCAACCCTGACCCAGGCCTCAATCGAATCGAAAATCATCTTGGACGGTCTGGTCTCCCCATCATATTCCTTCAGTGCCACCACGTTGAAATCAAACTGCCATGGGCCATTATGGAGAACATGCTTCCAGTCCCCCTCGCTGCCAAATCTGATCATGAACATATTACCTCCTAGCATCTTGAATTGGGCGCCCCTGTGTAGACCCCAGGCGCGCTGCATAGCTCTCTCGAATGCAAGCTTGATCAGTGGCCGCGGGGAGAAGGATTTGCCAACGACAGCCCACTTCATCTCTCTTTTTGTCCTTGGGTCAGGATCTTCAAACACAAATCCGGCCGCCTCCTTCTCAGCGTTGATACTATCTAATTGTCTGTGCGTTGGCACAGGCGCATACATATTCTAGTGGCTCAACACTAATTATATTCGACACATCCCTTGCATCCACCATATTCTAAAATTTGATAAGTTTTAATTTGATTTGAATATAGGTAGGAGAATGTAGAGATAGTTTTGATTTGGTTGATATTTTGGTGAGATTTAATTTGATATGGGTATGCATAGGGAAAGTAAACATTTTTTCGATTTAGTTGAGATTTTTGGAAGATACGATTTGATTTCATTTTATTGAGTTAATGTAGGATGTGATTTTGAGAACATACCGATTTGGTTTAGATTATTCCAAATTACTACATTTCTGTTGATTTTTATTTTGTGTGGCATGGGTTGAGAGTATCAAAAAATCAAGAGAAAACAACGAAGGGAGGGGTGCGTGAGGAGGGTGTGTGTGGAGGGAAGAAACAAGGAAGAGGGAGGCGACGTGGCCAACTCCATTTTAATAATAAAGACTAAGACGATGCATGTGCGTTCTATTAGGATACAAATAGTTTATTATGTTAGCTTGTGATTTATCTGTCTGTACTAATACGATTGTATAAATAAAGGACCTTTGATAAGTGACATACGTGTCGCACAAACACAGGCAACTACAAACGTGTTTGATGGCAAGTATAGTGACGCGAGGATGGCAACTCTAGTCGTAAAGCATGTCAGTTTTTTTATATGGCAACCTTCAGGTTTTTTTTTGTTCTTTTCTTTTTGTTTGGCAATTTTAGTTGTAAAAAATGCTAGATACAGATTGCTTAGTGACATGTGTGGCATTTGTCATTTAAGTAAATAAATGTTTATCAAATTTAGCTCATGATTTACCTTATATGTTGATGAGAAATTTGGTAAGTAAATTAAAGTAAAATTGATTCAGAAAATAAACAAATTAAGTGATTAATTATCATACCGGAAAGATTGGAAGAAGGGGTCGTGAGGAAAAAAATACATAAAATCTTAAATATATATATATATATATATATATATATATATATATATTAAGATTGAGATAGAGATATAGATTTTCAAGCGGCGGAGATAGAGATAGAGGCTTTTAAGCGGCGGAGATAGAAAGAGTGAATGGAGGGGGAGTAGCTGAGATTCACAAGAAGGATTCGGACAATAAATAAATATTTTTTTAAAAATAGCATTTCATTTGTTTTTACAACAAAATCTTTCTAGCACATCCCATGTCCCCAGCAACATGGCCACAGTGCACACACATTCCCCTTTTGGACCAGAGCACACAGTCTTTCT